AAAATAATCGAATAACTAAAAGCTTGATTAGGAGATCATTTTGCCATAATCGGAAGGTCATGTTTTCCAGATTAGGGTGCAATGGACATACAAATCACTGTCTTTTCCGTTCACTGAAAGGACATCTCCATGACTTAACACTCGACACGGACGTTGAGCTTAGGAAGTAGGTAATTAGCTTCGTGAAAAAGAGACCTGAAAAATTCTGGCGAACCTAAAGACCAATTAGTTGAAAGATGGCAACGTCTGGGGGATCGTAGCAAATACGGCTCAACATTTGGTTAAAGCGACAATGGAGAAGCCTGTTACCAGACAAACAAGTACGCTTTCTAGTACCTTGTTACCTAAAAACGGCTCATAACTAGTTATTGATTTCAGCGAAGATATCGATTAATGGCAATTATGATGTGGATGATGCAGTCAGTTCCACAAGACAGGGTTATATAAACCAGTGTAATAGTCTGCCACCCAACAAGGCCAGAGAGAAATAGGTGTCTCTCTATACAAATCTTGGCCGACTCGTCGAACAGTCGTGCAGGATTAAATGCATATCCGTCATTTAGTAAATTTAGATAAAATAAGTGAAGCTTAGAAATTGAACCGAGTATACGTATTTGCTATTGTTTGATCAATGAGCTTCTTATTAATACTCGTAGAACCTTTACCGCTAAAGCCTTATTCAGTAGCTCTTTTAATGCTTAAGTGAGAAGTAATAGCAATGAATACTGAAAGAGAAATCTTTTACTGCCATTTTTCTATTTAAGAGCACATTTCTACATGTAAACTAGCCATGCGATAATTATATCTGCCAAATGTACTATATATCATGAGTAAATTTCCAATATCGATAGAAAATACTTAAAACATATAATTATACTTTGGGATCCAAGTAACTGACAAATGTTCCTTATTAGAAAGTATTTTTCAATAGAACATACGTTATTGACAAACTTACAATACTAGACAAATAGAGCAAACATTTTCAAATAAGGAAAAAAAAAACACCAATTTTATGAGATGGATACTGTCACAATAAGAACTCGTTTGATTGGCTTATGTAAATATAACCCATAATAATGAATGTAAACCTAGGTTAACTGAGCATACAGGCATATTGTACCTATGGTAGTCCGTTAAAGCCATCTCCTCACCCGGTCTAGTCGGTAGCAGTCTATCACGTAATATACTAAGCAGTAACTGACAGGTATACAACTCTCCTATATAGTTATATATTACTAAATGTATATGCAAAATGGCAACTAATTTGATTCCAACATTTGATGTTTTTTTTATCTTGCATCTTCATTTGTGCTTTAAATAAACATTTTATAAAATAGACATTCATAGTAATTAAAATCGAGAAGTTCTCTCGATGTTCGTCGTATGTTTTGGTCTATGAATATACTATTTATTATATATTATTTTTTTTATTATTATTTATTTTTTAATTACTATTTATTATTATTAATTATATTTTTATTATTATATTGAAGTACTTACAAACCGATTAGCTATAACGTTATTAGATCTATGTAGCGCTATGGTAGCAATATGCCATTTTAATGCTGAAAAAAAATGAGCCCGATGAAAAGAGAATCATCCAGCCTTATCTATTACATTGAAGAAAAATGTTTCGGCTTGTTTTTAGCGCGACTTTCCAGTTTACTTATTTATATGTAGCATTTGAAGATGCTGTTTTCGTTTGTAAGTCTGCTGTAATTTCGTGATAGCGTAAATGGAATCAGAGATGAAGGTTTCAAGTGACACAAAATATTTTCATCATCTTACCTAACCGAGGTTAAACGGTCGAAAGGAAAGGATATCCTTTTTGGGTGAATCGCTACAAACATCGTAAGCAAGCAAGCAGGCACGCACGCAGCCATCGTTAGTTCAAACGTCAACGTTGAAAAAAAGGGTTAACGCAACAAAAACACGAACAACAAGGATTATAAAAGTTAGATTATGATATGCAGGAAGTTAAGTAATGCTGCTTGTATAATTGCCATGCCGTTTCATAAGTTAGCCGAAGAAACCAAAGAAAATTTCAGCAAGACCTACTCGGGCTATATTCCTAGCGGACGGGTCGTTCATGCTGTATATATGGAATCACAGCATCAAACTACGTCATGCATAGAACTTTGCCATTTTAAGTTCAAAGAAGAAATGTTAGACCTTGAGAGTGCACACTATCCCGGTTGGTCATATGGGATCGATGGGTCCAAATAGCACACAAGCCCACAATTTTGTCAGGTGTTTCGAATGTGTTTCATCAGACATTTGGAATTGTGAAACGGCTCAAGCTTACAAGAAAGCAAGCCTTTTCACCGATCCTCAACATTTCGTCCATACCCAAATGATGCGAAAGGACAACGATGGCTTTTTTGCCATGTTTGTAGTGCCTCTACATCGGCATATAGCTGAGAAAGAAATAGGTAGCTCTAGGACATATGCCGAGGTTTAAAGCTAAACACGACCTCCATACCAAAAAGATAATTTACGTTTGGCAGAGATGGAAGAGTCTCAAATACTAGAAAATGCTTGAGAAGTATAAGACGCTTAACAAAGGTCTGTATATTGCCCGATTGTGTCGAGCTTTTTGCAACCATCATATTCGCGACCGTGCTCCGACACATTTCACCTTTTCGGATTATCTTCATTTAACAGCAGAAAAATCTCAAAACCTAACCGAGCTAGTTTAATTGAACATTTCTTGGTAGGAAAAAAATGGATAAATTAGCTGTAATATCAGAGTGAATCGTTGATAGTAACAGAAACTACGTAACTTATTACTAGGAGTGGGGTAAGACGATTTCTTATACTCATGTTCCAACGAAATAACTTTTACAGAACCGTATGTAGGTATATATGTTCCATAACATCCCGTATAAGAGCAACGTGTATAGGACCAACATGGGTTGAAGAGAGACAGATTTATTGTTGTCCCTATGTGTAAAATATTACACAAAGAAATGTTAGTACATTGGTAAGATCAATTTGCAATGCCAAATGAGATTGCAAGCCGAATGCGTGATAACGACAACGACAGGCGAAATGGGGGAACAGCAGAAAGGACGCATTGTCTTGGCCTGTAGATAAGACAGATTAATTGCTAGCTTGCTCTCTTGATGGCCTTAAGGCTACGATACATTTTAACTTTGCTGCCCGCTTGCTTCGTTTGGGGTTTCGCAACGCACCTGCAACTGGTTTCTCAGTAGGTTCGCCTATCTTTGCCGCTCTCCTGACATACTCCATTTAGTCTACAACTGACTCTTACTCCGGAAACGGAACTCCCCGTTGGCTACCTGACTCGACAGCATAGCCTCTACAAATAACAGAGGGAACGCGTCGTTAAGGAGGACCTGCAGAAGTTATGTTTCGGTTTCGCTTCCAAGAAAATACACAGCGTCGTAAACGTCGTGACGGTTAGCTTGTTTATTTTTATTAGCACTACTTAAGCCAACCAAGAACAACATGTTTTTTCCGAATTAGCAATTTGTGCTCCTCCTTTTTAATTATTTATAAATTAGTATATACGGTTATATATATATATTTAGTAGACTTTTCGCGTCGGGTTTGTACATTCTAGGAAATATGACTGTGGTGAGTGCTATATAGCGATTCAGGAACACATGGGGAATCTGAAATGTTTTACCCTCATATCCTTACTAGCTGCGCCGAAAAACAGCTTAAGTGCTTGGAGTACGATGCATTTTCTTCGAATGGACACGTTCAAATAATTTTCCATTTATACCGAGCGTATATACCGTAATTTGTGTCACAAAAGAAACAGACAAATAGAGAATACATCATTTTTCCCTAAAGGTACCATTAAATCGGCAAAAAGTTCTACCTCTAGATTACCTTCAAAAGAACTTGAACGCTGTGGTCACACGAGGTTGAAGAACGCGTACGTTACAACGTAGACCAACAATCGCCTTTCATTAAACTTTGGGTCGCGTTGAAAAGATCAAAGATCACCATCAAAGGCCCACCTGATCGGCTGGTGTAATCATTCGACTCACTGTGAGAGCATGCATTAACTAGATTATTCTCCGCTAAAACTATGGATAAGTTCGTAACTAGTGGCTCTTTACGATTAAACTTAATGGTGATCCAAGTTATCCGACATTGGGTTGCTTAACAAATCGATAATTTGGCCAGATAAACTGGGTGTGCATTCAATTTCGGATAGCTGTATTTCGTCAGAAACTTTACCGTTGGAACTGTTCACGGACGGTGTCTGTGATGTAATCACGCTCACAACGAACGATACAAAAATGTTCCAACTGGACAATATTCAGATAGTAAATATGTTTTTCAGGATGTTTTTTTCTTTTTTGTATAGTGGTACCAGTTTCACTAGATTCAAAAACTGTCCTTGGGTAAACAGTTGTCCCTTTTTAAATGAAACCCAAATTAGAAATGATATCTCTGTATATAGAGAAAGCTAAAAACAGCACACAACTAACTCTACCTTCAAAACTATCTAACATTTACTAATTCTTATAGACTCGTAGTGGTTCAAAAAAGGCCGCCGTTCGAGAGTGGTCTAAGAACAGTTGTTGGCTGGAAGCGCTAGACAAATAAGTGACATTAAAGTTTACCTACCCACAGACCCGGTTGATGATTTTGCTTCACAAAGACTTTCTAGTTTAGTTACTTCTGTTCCAAAGTCTAAACTTACGTACAGCATAAAAATGACGCTAAAAGACAATCTTTTAAGACACGAATTAATTACGAGCGTTAGGTAGATGATTATGTATGGAAAATTACTCAGTTAACTATTTGATTGATAACAGGAGCAGAAACTCCGAGACATACTTTATGTTTTGGCTTCGACCGAACCGTGCAACATATTGCAATTGATGATTCTACACATTTGTTAGGATAATAAGATACATTCATACAGACTTATAGGTAACTTATATAGATGATTACATAGACTTATAGATAGTCGATTTACACGTACCTATCCTCAAACTTCAGCCAGACTATCTTACCATTGGTTGGAGTCGAACCAACACCGAGGAAAGTCCAGGCAATGATGAATAATATAGTTTTTCCGGGCATCACGTACAACACTACCACTTGTCTATCAGTAAAATTTTAAACGTAGGCCTATTATTTCCTGCAATGAATACGTCCTACCAAATGATTTTCGTTTATAATTTCCTTAGGGAATCGATTGTTTGTGGCGTCGACAACACTGTATACCTGAGATCTCGTAGATCCGTTTATAATCAGAAGATTGTTTCGGAGACGGATCACTTTGATGAGGAGATTACTGGCACACTAACGGAAACAGTTGTGCGCTTTTTGGTTTCTGCTATTAACCCTTTACAGAGGTTCGGATTAAAGATAGCAGCACACAGACACTAAACACGCGTAGAAGAATCATAGCCGCTGCCGCCCATCAGCGTAGGCGTTCAAGGTACCTACCTCTACCACTTTGTAACTTGGTAACAGTTTATTCTTCAATTTCTTGGGCCTTGCCAATAGCAACAGTGGCAACCCCCAAAACAAGCGCTCGTCTCTCAATGACACACTGGCCTGTATGGTAACGATATAAGACTTACCCAACAAGAAAAGAGCAACTTCTTTAAGCCGCAACCACGGTCAAGGGCTGCCAACGAAAACATACAACCATACCAACAGTAGCAATATTACCACGGATGCCAACACACACGGATGGGGGTCTTGGCCGGTCGGGGTAAACTTTCTTAGTGAACTGCGTGCAGTTGGGGGCCCGAGCGGCGCGGAGCGCATGCGCTTCATAGTCCCCGCCTATAGGCCCGCCTTCGGCGCTTAGGCTGGCCTGATAGCAACCTCCGGGGCCCCTTTATTGTAGAGTAAGAAAGCAAAATCCAACTAGATGAAAACCGGCAAAACGAAAAACGTATGCTTTGATGTGTCGTACGTACTCTGACAGCACATATACAGACGTACACAAATAGACGCTGGAACATACCGAACAGAGTGTGGCACATCGAAACACAATCAGCATGCTTTAAGCAGGCAGGCACAGAGGTTGGTTTGAGCAAAGGTTGATACCGACAATTAATTTAATTTTATTCCATCCAAAGTTTTACTTTTGAATGGGTCTGTATATGATAATAGTATCTGCTTTTCCTTTTGACGCTCAGTTGTCAAGAAGACGGTATGGGCAGACGGTCAATGTGGGGTCGGCGTACATTCAAAAGTATTCCAAATATGGAGACCTTTGTGCACAGCTGTTAGAGAAATGCGTAGGCCTATAATAATCAAACATAACTCAGTCTCTGTTCAATAAATCAACATGTAGTGTACTATTGTTCTTCATTGATCGAGAGCTCATGCTCGACCTTCCTGCATTTATAGATCGCTTTCAGGTATCTAGAGTAATAAACATGTTTGTCTGGCTGATATTTCTTGAAAATGTATTAATAAACAGTGTGTATGATAACATTTTAGCAACTAAGAATACAGAATATGACTGTAATAGCGTGAAAGCCGTAAAGCTTGCGGAATTTGGCTGAGGCGCCTTTAAGACAGCCAAAGTATTCAATATACGTGCGCGTACATATGTCCGCTATTTAAAAAAAAAAAACACTGTAATTATTCTTAGGACGACACGTTAAAATAATACTACGCTTCTCAGCGGTTGCAGGAACTTTAGGACGAAGCGTGAGTACTTTTCTAGGAACTTGCAGAAATATTCGATGAAGTGCAAAAGCTGGAATAAAGGCCCAAAAACTATTTCGGGGAAGACTGTGGCAAACAATATGTGAACAATCGGTCCTTAAATATCGTGCTTCAAAGACTTAAGCTCTCTGATAGTAAATTGCTTGACTTATAGTTACACGATTTCAAATATTTATAATTTTACAACTTAAGGAATGAGAGTGGTAATTTTTCAGTATAACTTCGAGGTTAAGGTGCATATTTGAGCTAGCCTATTGGGGGCTTCTCAATTACAGGCATGCTTACCATTGGCGTTACAATGCCCAGTTTCGTTGTTTTCAAGAGCAAATCAGTGGTTATGCAAAGGGTGGCGTCAACAGACTTCAGCGGTACGTTGAAGCAACCGCAATTACATGAGCTAACTTAGCAATACGGGAACTGTTAGAGGTTAATGTGAGGGCCCTCAATCTTGGCAACAACTGTAGCAGTTAGACGCGGTCTTTTAATGTCATCAAATAGCCACAGCAATTGGATTAATCCATGAGTTCTTAGAAAACGTTTAATATCGAGAAACACGTTTTGTTTTTTCATATCACGCTTCCATTAGGCCCGAACGTATCTGTCATCAGCATTGAGCTGGAAGGCACTATCTTCTCAACTGATTCTTGAAAAACTTGTATCGAGCGATCTTTATGTTGGTCATTAACGATGAAATGTGATGCGCCAATTGTACAACTAACGATCTGAAGATCAAAAATAGACAAAAAAAAAAAAAGAAGAAGATAGAAATATCAGGGTCCAGACTTCAGTTTAATTAAAAACTTATTCTGATTTAGAAAATTGACTCATTTCGGGCACCTCATGTGGGGTTCTCTCGTTGATCCCTTCGGTATCAACGTTCCTCTATTCGTGTCCCCGATGGTAAATTTACACTACGAATTTTAATGAAGGCCGATTATTTTTACAGTCCTCAAATTTCTAGCGAATTTCAGCAACGAGCTGGCCTTAAATAAACAAGGGCTTGATAAACACCCGTCCAATATTAGATCACGAACACTGAATCATAACTGATAGATCGAATCAGCTAAGCATAGGGCATATTTCTCTTATACTCACCAGGCGCCTCTAACGTTTCAGGTCGTGTTTGTGTGCAACTGCGTATCCTTTGTACGATTCCGAAATTGCTATATTACTTTTATATACGACTGTCGTTTCTAATTGGCCACACCGATTTAACACTAGTACAGTAGATTTATTATTATAAATATAAATGCTTCTCAGCCTTCAGAAAGATCCATTTCTTCGCCTCTTTAAAATGAAGAAACTACACTATGATTAGGAAGACAAAGTCAGTGCATACATCTTGCTATGATCATTACGTATGTTCCAAGTTATTTCGAGGCTCTACTTAACTGTCAAAAAGAGGACCAAGTCCTCAACTGCCTCTAGATAATAGCGTATATCTGCATACGCAGCTAAGAACTTCGAAAAGTCAAATAATGATTAAAATAAGGACAATATACTAGCGTCTTTTAAACCCGAGCTAGTGAAAGCGGCAGCGAATATCGAAGAACACTGATGACTAGTTTAGTCTTATGTTGATCAAGCTAAAGCATCGTTGTTAGTAACACGGATGCCCCATTAAGGCATACAGCTTTTTATCGTCGTTTTTGTTATTGATTGCTATGACTCACTTGGAAGCTTTCGAACCACCGCTAAATCATCAAGACTGCTTAGGTGCCTTTGAGAAAAATTTCTGCCCTTCAATCTACGCTACATTTTTTTCTAATTGAGACCGAAGTAAAGGTACGCGTTTTAAGAAGACCGCCAACAAACGCGAATTGTCTTGACTAAGAAAATGGTCGGCCATCAGCGTAGAAGTAGTACCTGAGCAGTTTCCTGAGTCGTATGCAACTCAACGGAAAAGAGTAGAATGAGGGCTTGCCATCTTATGGATCCTCGGTGCACGGCAACGCTAAGTATAAAGGATGCGAGAGACTCTTTGGGACCAGCTGGCCTCTCAGCTTCCTAATTGTATTCAAATGGGGATGGACCCCAGGCACCAGCCCACCATCTCGCGCAAAGGCAAACTGGGTCGCCGATGAAAACGAGTAGGGACGAATTATATGGGATAGGAGAAAATTAGCACCGCTACTAAAAAAGCAGACGTCTAGAGTGAATTTGGATCTACATCTCTATCTTAACTGCATTATACAATAACATAGTATGATACGAGCCTGTAGCTGTAGGTAGAGGCAATCCAATGTCAGAATGTGGACTCTTTTATCAAGCTGCTGCGGAAGTATAATAGTAATTTAATATCTCATGTGAAATCCTTCTCCATACAAACGAACTTTCGGGTAAAGATCAGACATAGAACTAAAAAATTGTATGGTAAATACCGTGCCAATGGAAGTTCTTGTTATTTTTCTAAAGGTATTTAATAATATAAATTCAATTCAGACGTGTCGCTGGCATAGCTGATGACTCACGATTGGGTTAACGCAAACACGCAAGTGAAGTAATAAGAAAAACTGTATTCGCCTATTTAAGAACAAGAAGAGCAAAAATAATCATTTTGAAGCATTCTGGGGCATTTTGGAAAGACTAGTGAAATGGAGCGCGCAGCCGACGTTGTTTTTTTAAAGCGAGTGATTCTTGCTGCCGAAGACCTGCGATGTCGCTCTGCATTGACCGTTTCTCTGCCAATATGGCACCAGATAGCATTAGCTAAACTCGTAGAGCAAACTAATATAACATGATATATACTCTTACTTCATTCATTACATCTCTTCTCATCCCCTATAACATGTGTTTAGAAAAAACATGGCAGAATCAAAGTTATATATACTAGAAAAGTACATGAACCACTTAGTTTCTGGATTGGCTGGCCGTGTCTCTACCTAAGGATGAGCATTAGCTCACTGATTAACGAAGATTTTTTAAGTTTTAGTAACACAATATTTTTGCTAAATCATACAACTCTATGATAGTGTTCTCTACCGCTTTTTTATAGCAAAGCCCGTTACCAACATCTTTTAGCTTTCCCACCAAGTTAATATTCTTTGCTTGTTTTTCTTTTTACCCCTTTCCTACTATGGGGGAGCAAATCGTGTGCTAACGATGGGACGAACAGGACTTCTATCTCGTGTAGATTACGGCAGCAAGAAATCAAGAACTAAAAGAGCGATGCTACCATCGTCATTGAGTTTTGAAATTGGCCGCCAATCAATCCTACTTGACTTCCGGTGGGATTTCCGCCAAACGTCTTCTTTCTCTCCTTCGAAGTGCGACGCCTTTGCTCATTCCATGGCGGCTGCGCCATAAGCCCGTTCATCCTTCGAGTATCGTCTCTTATGTGACCCCCAAGTCTTGTGATTCGACCATCCCACGTTATTCCCCCCCCGCCCGCCAGCCAGTCTTGTGCTTACTAGACACCCAAAAAGAAAGAGAGAGGAAGAGAGAGAATGTCTCAACATATAACACACACGTGGGTAGCAGACACACACATCTATTCCACGTGGTACCACTTCTTTTAACTCAAAACATGTACTTAGCCGCTCTACAATTTCTATACTCCCTATCTGCTTCTTTCCTTTTAGGGCAATCGTGACTAGTAAATTAGCGAGGGAGGTAAATTTAAATTCATGTTGGCCCCGTTGTCTCGACGGCAGAGACTCGTCTGCATCGTATGCCTTTCACCGAGACCTACCCTCTCCTCCTTTAATTCTTTTCTCTACTCTGCCTACTCTAGCAAACGGAGCCCTAGATTTTCTATCCCCCGTTACCATATAGTTAAACTAGAGTGGTTTCTTCAACATTTCCGAAATTATTATGCACTGACCATATCCACAGTAATGGTACACGTCTATCGAAATAGTTCTTACCAGGATATACATGAACGGGAAGGCTCTTATACTAGCGAAGAACGCAGGCAGGATCTCTTCGATCTCGGCGCAAAAGGGAAATGGTACTTGTTGGAGCTTGTCAGAGCCAGAGATTTCCT